TTTGAATAATTTTTTCAGATAAAATATTAGATATATGGGACATCATTTTACCGTTTACAGATTTGAGCTAGCTCATTCCGTTTGGAAGATATTGTAAATTCAGACTGGAGGAAAGATATCGGCCGCCCATATACCTTGATAATCTGCAAACTACAGTTATTCACTCTAACCGTTGCACTTATTATAGTCATTGTGTGCTCTGTTAATAATATTAATAATTGAATTGTAGTAAATGTAAATTGTATTATAAGTTAAATATTAGTTGTCATTAAAAACATGTTTAAACTCCACTAATTATATTGAGGTATACCTTAATAGAGCATAAATTACAAATCGATAAAACCAGATGTATTTGGAATCTAAGTAAATAGCTAGTTTAGATGATTTTAAATATTACATCTAGTTTTGTATGAATTGTGATTTAATGACACTTTAAGTAATACTAAATCAATTCTATGTTTAAATGAATGACAAGTGATTAACATTTGATTCATAGCTTGTAATCGCATAGAAAGTGATTTCAAATGAAGCGCTCTTTCAGTCATTTGTTTTGTCTGTCAAATGAAAGTCGTGTCCAAAGAATTGAATAGAAGAGCCGATCGGTAGACCAGAAGTGCTGAGATGTCATACCGCGGAAGAAGCACTTTCTTCGTCATTATTGAACGATTCATCGATTCATTGAAACCAAAAAACTTGAAATCAAACGTTAAACTCATTGGAGACGACTATTTGGGAAACAAATACTTTGAAAGCCACGCAAAACGTATGCAAACATTAATCCGGTTTCAAATGTCTTGAAACTAATCCATTGTTTGGTTTAAAGAGTTATTCGACCGAAGAATAGAACCGAAGCGTTGGTTCGAACCCAAGAGGGAAGACCTTTGGGACCAACCATTGCCTCCCGAGTGGAATGGTATGTCATTTCTGGCCCACAAATGGTCAGCTCTGGTCGTCTTTGACCACACTTTTCAATACAATCTCATTGTTTGACTCCTTTTCAAAGCGTGGCTTCGGATGAGACGAACGGATCCGCCGACGACTGAAGAGATTGAATACAATCTTATGGTCGAGAGAAAGAAGAAAGAGATGAACGAAACGACAAAAGCGCCCAAAACTGACAACAAATTCAATAGTTTTCCCACTTATGAAGAATACGACGACTTCTCGGGAATGAAGGACTCGTTGCGAAACAAAGACAAGACTTAAAGACAAATGACTTTTATTAATAGGAATAATAGCTCTTTTGGTCCATTCGTTAGACATTTTTAGTACAAATATTAAGTAAATATTGATTTGAATGACAAAAATAATAATTATATAAATTATAAGAAAAATATATATAAATAATTTGTATTAGAAATCTATTTCTGTTTCTTTCGTTGTTTAATATTATCGATGCGTTTATTCTTGAGTTTATTCTTCCGGTTCTTCGTCTCTATATGTTTGGATAATTTCCACGAAAGGTAAGCACTTATGGCGAAGAATGGCGACAGTATTAGCAGAACTGTATACAAGAACTGACCCGGACTTTGCACCGACCACACAGACAACCACACCATCCATTCCGACACCAACTGAATCAATACAATCAATGCAATCAATACAAGCAGTAATCAGATAAGCAATTAAAGGGCGGAACCACTCATCAAATCAATACCTCAAACATTTTAACCGCTGATTAGTTTTAATGACTCTTTTGGTGATAGATAACACGATTTGTGCGATTTCTTCAGATAAATGCCAATCAATTGAACACAAGTTTTAAATGAATTAAATTTAAATCTCATTAAAAGAAAGCGTTATATAATTGTTTACAAACTTATCGTTTGTTTCCATAGAAATGATAACACCTCTCAATAAAAGACGTCTTCAATACACATATTCTTGGATTCAAATGGATTCAAATGAATTCAAATTCTTGTCTAATATATTAGACAATCATTTATTTGTAATATATTTTACATTCAATTTAGTAAAAAGTAAGTAAATATTTTGATAATTATATTTAATTCAAATATTATGATAATTATAATTAAGTGATTGTATTGACGAGATTGTGATCACATCTTATAGTCGACCGCTTTTTCAAACAATTCCAACAAACGTTTCACTTCTTTTAACTCTTCACTTAATTTGGCGATCGGTTTC